AGAGAGAGAGAGAGAGAGAGAGAGACTTAAAGGCCAGGTAAGTCCTTCGTATATCGGGGATGACGTTACAGAGAGATGACATTACTGCCGCGGACGATAGAAACTGGAGTCGACGAGAAGAGGCACGATCGAGCATACCACATCGATATCGACAGATCGATTCTTAATCTCGATCGTAGTCGGTAGGCAACAATTTCACGCGAGCAACAGCCTAGGCAGATGCATGCACCGCGCCGTTAATCAAATTCGCCTGCATGGACGTAGAAAGATATTAATTGACTGGATCGGCAAAACGTCGATCTATAACGCGAGCACGGACTACTTTTCCACGTCGCGGAGTACCCTTCCATTCGTCTGTCTGTCTGTCTGTCTGTCTGTTCGGTGATTTATGACGGGCGCGTAGATTAGATTTTATTGGGATCTTAATTAACTCGGACTAATGCCGGAACGCGGCTACCGAGTTACCGTCGCAACGTGATTGCCACGATTTCTTTAATCTTTCTGCGTTCGAACGATGATGCAGAGAATGGAAACGATTACCAATGAAACACTTGATTCCCCGATAAAACGGCAATGAACATCGTTGCAAGTCGAAATAATGACAGACACGTGAAGCGATAGTGATATACTAACCAATCTCTGCTCCACTTTCCTTTTCTTTGTAGATTTCTTCTGAATATCAATCGATTATCATTCGCAGGTCCAAGTTCGAATTGAATGTGTGAAAATTATCGTTTAATATGGTTGAGAAGTAGATTATAAGATTAGGTTTAACTTTACCGAGTTTTATCGAATTATACTCTGAGTGACTTTTTGATGCCTACTAACATAGTCCCCTCTTCTCCTCGCGCTTATAAGGAAGCGCAAACTTATCTTATCGAGCGAAATTTATCGATTAGTAAAACGATGCAAGTGAGTAATAAAATATTATCATACACAGAGTTGGGAAGAAAATTAGTGGAGTAGTAGCAAAGGTAAGAGGTGCTCTAATCTTACTTAGAATGTTACAATCAATGCGTGTGAGATTAAGATATATGCCTAATATATTATGATCGATTGAACTGGCATTTTAATTAAACAACATACGTCACTCGAAAATCTCGAATATTTCTCATATTACTATCTCTTCTATTGCGCAATGTTATTTCATCACTTACGCAACATATAATATCATTTCGCACATCGGTCTTTTCTCGATTTTAACAACATTTCACTCGAAACATTTTGCCCGTTTCTGCTCTGTTCCTTTTCAAATTATTTCCACAGTCAATTAGTTTATTTCATTCTCTGTCGTAGAACGGTTGCACGTATTAAAAATATATAACGCAGAATGCGGAACGCTATTTTAGAAAAAATTAGCAGCGGACCGCTATCGAATCGATATTCGATCCCTTAAGTCTCTGAACAACCCTCATAGTGATCAGCGTTAACGATTCACGAGTTTAGCGGCTCGGAAGTAGCTCTCTGTCTCCGGTGGCCCGGGTCTCTCGTTTTATTTTCACGGAAAGCATTGAATCGGTTCCTGGCCGGTGGCGGGCGAGATTTAAAACCGGTAGCACAGTATGCGCCGACCGGATTGTATATTTTTAGAACGACCGGCGTCCTCGCGTGGGCGGACACGCTGGTCACCGGTCCAGGAACCTGCAGCACGTTGTTTCCAGCGAGCACGATGATCCCCTTTTGTCGGCGGATCACGCTCGTCGCGGATTTCTCGGTGATCGTTCTTCTGGCAACGTGCCGTGAAGCAAGGATAATTCGATGGGATTTAGGGGAATGCCACCGGTACCTACTGATTTTCAAGGAGAAATCTTCGATCGGAATAAGGGTGTTAAGAGATCAGTCGGGGGTCCTTTCCATTCTGTTCCTTCGTGGATCGTGGATTTCAAGAAGAGGGTCGAAGTTGGAATAACTCGAAAGCAGACAGTTCATTTATTGGAACACTTGCCATTGTCGTCGTGAACTTTGGCATCTTTGTCGAATACGTAATAGCAAGATGTGGTTATTTGGCTCAGCCGTATTTTAAAATCCAATTTCGAACTTTCTCAAACAATGTTTGTCTGAATAATGGAAATATTACAATGTCGC